GTCCAAGCTGATTCCTAAAAAAAAGAAGAAAGATAGTACCGTTTCAAAAGAAAGAATTAACAACCCACCCATAAAAAACTTACGAGTCCATTTTGAAAGAAGGTCCAAGCCGATTCCTAAAAAAAAAAGAAAGATAGTACTGTTCCAAAAGAAAGAATTAACAACCCACTCATAAAAAACTTACCACGAGTCCGTTTTGAGAGAAAGTCCAAGCCGATTCCTAAAAAAAAGAAGAAAAATAGTACCGTTTCAAAAGAAAGAATTAACAACCCACTCATAAATAACTTACCACAAGTCCATTTTGAGAGAAAGTCTAAGCCGATTCCTAAAAAAAAGAAGAAAGATAGTACCGTTCCAAAAGAAAGAATTAACATACTCATAAAAAACTTACCACAAGTTCATTTCGAGAAAAAGTCTAAGCTGATTCCTAAAAAAAAGAAGAAAAAACGGTTAGTACTGTTCCAAAAGAAAGAATTAACAACACACCCATAAAAAATTTACTACAAGTCTGTTTCGAGAAAATGTCCAAGCCGATTCCTAAAAAAGAGAAGAAAGAAAAAACGGTTAGTACCGTTCTAAAAGAAAGAATTAACAACCCACCATAAAAACTTACCACAAGACCGTTTCGAGAAAAAGTCCAAGCCGATTCCTAAAAAAAAGAAGAAAAATCGGTTAGTACCGTTCTAAAAGAAAGAATTAACACACCGATAAAAAACTTACCACAAATCTGTTTTGAAAGAAAGTCCAAGCTGATTTCTAAAAAAAAGAAGAAAGAAAAAACGGTCAGTATCATTCTAAAAGAAAGAACTAACATGCCCACCTATGAAAAACTTACCCTAAGTCCGTGTTGAGAAAAAGTCCAAGCCAATTCCTAAAAAAAAGAAAGAAAAGGATGGTTAGTACCATTCTATAAGAAATTAATCTTACCCATAAAAGCTTACTTCCGCTTGAAGAAAAAGTGAGAAAGTCAAAAAAATTCTAGCAGCAATAATAATTTATAATATAAAAAAATTGTTAAAAATAAAGATCTATTTTAATTTTAATATCTATTTTTAATACTGCTGGATTGTCGATCTGTTTACTTATCAAAAACTTTCAAACCTAAATATCTCAAAATCACGTTTATTAGAGTTTCTTCCCTTTCTATTGCAAAGGCTCCATTTGGTCGAAATGTGCCAAAAAACCTATTTTCCTACTATTAGATTTATAATAAACTTTTTTAAAATAAAATATAAAATAAATTTATAGATTTATGAATTTATATATATTTTCTTTTAAATTTTTTTAAATCTAATTATTATTAAAAATATATATATATATATTTATATAAAAAAGAATTTTTACTTATTTGCAATTTTTATATTTAATAAATAAGTTTGATATTATAAAAAAATGCTTATAATTTTAATTAATTCTAATTCTATTTTATTTAATAATTAATTTAATTAAATTACTAAAAATTTTTTTATTATAAAAAATATTCATAAATTTATGAATATTTATAATTGAATTTTTGTTATAAGCATTTTCATATATTTTAATTTAATCAATTTATACTTACATTGAAATTATGATTGTCACGTGATAATTGAAGATAATAATGATATAATTCAAATCATTACGTCATGATTATATAATAAAGATGCAAAAAGTATTTAAATAAGGTCTGCTATTTTCTCACATTCATTAAAGAGTAGGAATGGAAACTTCAGTTGATAATGTGTTAGCTCCTGAAGCTGTCTTGTCAATTATTGACAAAAATCTAAAACCATCAGAAGGGAGGGAAGGTTCTATTACAGTACTTGGTTCAAGTCAAGACGCTTTGGCAGCATTAACTCATGCAATTATGCAAGCCGTAGGTTTTCGACTTGTTGGGCTTGGCGAGGAAGACAGCTTGGAAGGTTTTTTAATTATAAATATAATTGTTATATTATTATTATTATTATTATTATTATTATTATTTATTATTGTTTGAATTCGACACAAAACTAAATTTTTTTAGAGGCTGATCGTAACATTATTAAAAGGGATTCTGAAGGCAATATTATAGGATTACCGAAAGAGTGGAATGAACAAGGTCCTAATTCATATGCTTTTCGATACAAACACCCACAATCATCATTCACATTTTTGATCAAATGCATGCGATTATCTAATAAGTTTATAATTCACGGTATGGGAATTGAGGTAAATTAAAAAAAAAAGTTTGTACTTTTTTTAATCGATCGAAAAAAGAATTTTTCATGAATCCAAATCATTGTGTTAATTAATGTAGGATAATAAGACAACAACATTGGAATTAATCACGGATGACTATACTTCTCCATCGTTTTTCCCATACACATCCGAAAAGTATCATGAAGAACCTATGATTAATGGGTATATATCAACAAGTCGTATCAAAGATCTGATCAACCTTTATAAAATAAATATTGTGCAAAAATTAATTCCAGGGTTAAATAAACCTGGATATGAAGAAACCAGAACTACGTATGTGAAATAATATAATAATTTTTTTATTAATTGATCGGGCGAACTTGAATATTTAACTATAATACATATCTATCTTTTATTAATAGGTCAGCGACCACTTCTAATCCTAGTACTCGTCAACAAGAACCTTATAATGATCCCTTACGCGTTCCAACACGTCAACCACCACGCTTTCAACCACCGATCTTCGATGATCCATACGGTGGTGATGAACCATCAAGGTATAAGTTGGTTAATAATATAGTCGACAAAATTCTTTAATCCAATGTTTATGTTTTTTTCCCCTTTAGTTTCAATCCCTTCAGCGTTGGTCAAGATGATTTAGATCCACTTGGCTCGAATCCAATTTATGGGCCACCAAGGTAGTTAGATTACAAATTGTCATTAAATGAAACCGTAATTCATTCTCAACGTTTTTCTTCGTTTATATTTAGATTTGGTGGTGGTGGAATTCAACCCTTAGGAGGTGGTGGAGGTGTTGGAGGTAATGGGATGTATGTAGGGCCAGATCATCCTATATTTGGACAACGAGTTCCTCCTGGTGGCCGTGGTGGACCGCAACCGCTTCCAAGGTATGTGCATATGTTATTAATTGGAAATTGTTCGAAATTTTACTAATCTAATTTCTATATCATAGAGGATCCGTTCCACCTGGTGCTAGATTTGATCCAATTGTACCATTTGGACCTGGGGGGCCTGCTCCAGGACGAGGTCGATTTAGTCGGCCGCGAGGAGATCCATTTAGGTAAAACACGTCAAAGAAATCATCATCTTCTATTATAGATATATTAAAATAATTAATCATATATATATATATATATTTTCAAATATGAAATCAGCGGTGAACCTGATAACGATGAGGTTTCTCCTCCGGTACATTTTAAAATAATATTAATCTTTTTTATTAATCTTTTTAATTTTTATAATTCTATTTTTATATCTAATTATTTTTCTTCGTATTTCTAGGGGTACAATGATATGTTCATGTAAAGTAGTTGTCAATATTCATTCACATTATATTTATAAATAACGAACTGTATATTTTGTATATTGTATTGAAAATTCTAAAAATATTCCATTTTATGATAGCATTTTATTACATACTTCCCTCAATCAATTTTCATTAGTGTTATTGATTAGCTAAATTAAATAAATGTCTTTATATTAAATAAAGTAAAGAACTTTTTTTTCTAAAGAGTATACGTGTTATACATTAAAACAATTCCATCATTATAGTTATTTCAATACAACAAAAATTTTAGTAACTCTTTGAAACACGAACAAATAATAAAAACATATACATACCCAAAGTAAAAGATCTACTTTTTGACTCGTTCCAATTCTAACTTAACTTCATCCAATTCTTTGGTAGTTTTTTCCAATTTTTCCTTATATATAACTAATTGTTCTTGCACTTTTTTCGTCGCCTCTTCAATCTTACGGATCTCATCTATTTCGGCTTGTACACCTAAATATGATATAAATCGTTTTGTATAAAATAAAATAAAGGTAAAATGATAAAAGAAAAAATAAATAAATAAACACAAAACTGTATGGATTATTAGGCGTAGATCGAGTTTGTAATCCCGAAGAAGGATGTTGTATAAATATTTGGTACAGATATTCCGTTGGATCTGTGAATACCTAATAATAATAATATTATAAATGATGATGATTAATAAAAAAGATAATTTAAAAAAATTAAAAAGATTAAATTATCGTCCTTACCAACTCATCGTATTGGAAGCTCTGCACTGGTTTGTTCTTGTTGGCCGTAGATATAGATCCATCCTCTTCATAGGGATGTAACCTTAGGTTGTGATAAAGCATCACCGGTTTTTCGCCACTTTCCGGAACGAACTGTAACTTTATCGTTAATTCAAATTCTCCCCATCCCGTTTCGGTAAGTTCGAACGGTGGATGTTCAACCACTATCAAATTAAAAAAAAAATTAGACGAATTGGACTTTTTTTTTTAAAAAAAATGGGTGTGATGCATTTTAGGCTTTACCTCGTTGAGGATTCGCGTACGTTTCATGTAATTTGAAGGTCACCTTCTTTACAAAACTACTTATATCTTCATTATTTAAACCTTTAACCGACACTGTCCACTTGTGCGTATGGTCAGAGTCGGGAATCTTCTTTTGCGGTAATAATGTTGCGATATTACCATATACTATTGGTCTTATTACCGTTACTCCCTGATGTTTTTAAAACGAGTAAAGCTAAGTGGAAAGAAAAAAAAAAAAGGTCTTCGTTCATATACACGAGGAACGAATCTTGAGGAATAAGAAGTACCTTTGTTCTTTTGTTTGACATTGTTATCTTACAAAAATTGACGACGATAAAATAGGCGTTTATATTTTAAATATATGGTTACGTAATGCGTGTAACATTGCTATAAAGAGCAAAAATAATGTATAATTAAAAAACATTTTTTTTTTTTTTGCAAGTCCAAATTATTGATCTTTATTGAAAACAATAAAGAAAATAAAAATTCTTTTTTTTTTATAAAATGTCAAAAATAAAACGTGAAGAAAAAAAAAAAAAGGTGAAAAATTACAAAAATGATAGATTTAAAAAGCTAAAGGGGGGAAGGGGGGAAAATATTTATTTTTATAGGGGAATAATTTTTTTTTTTATATATATATATAATAAGTAATGAAATTGTCTTTGAAAAAAATTATAATTCTCCATAAGATCAGAAAATAATAGTTATCTCTTTTTTTATAAACTAATTAACTTATAAACCTCAAGCAAAGTTGTCTATGTATTTGAAATATGTTAAACTACAAAAGTACATTGAAAAAAAAGCAGAGTGGTGTATAATATAAAGTGAAACACCAAACTTTCTAATAAAAATAAAAAATAAAAATAAAAAAAATAAAAAAAAAGCTACAATAAGAAAACAAAAAAAAATAAGAAAATAAATGGAAATAAAAAAAAATTTCATTGCAGACGAATAAAAGTCATAAAATTAAAAAACATAAACAAAAAAAAACATTATACTAAAGATAACAGATGCATACGTCGCTTTCAAATTTCATGAAGTTTTATGAACTCTTATATAGTTAGTGTCATTGCATTATTTATTACAAATAACAGTAACTACGATGCGATCGATTGGAAAGTAGGTGCATGCACGTCGAATAGCCCGGATTTTCTATGCTCATAATTGTTCGTCACATCATCATCTGGTACTCCATATGGAATAGCAGATGCATGTAGTCGAGAAGGACGATAAGCAAAGTTCTGAGATGGATCTGGTCCCCTCGGTTGTCTAATCGGAAACACGATTGGAGTTCCGTCATTGCTAAGGTTTAAACTATTCATCAAGGTTTATATTAGATTTAAAAATATAATTATAAACTCCATAGAATATAAATGATAAAATGTTAACTTACAGCCAAGATTTTCTGAATGGTGAACGCGACAGTGGAGAATGATCACCTCTTATGGATCTATTTGAGGGACTCTCCGATAAACCTGTACTTGCCAACAACTGCGCGGCCGAACGTCTACCCAACGAACCATTTCTAGAAGGTGTTTGCTAGATGAAAAAAAAATTTTGTTAAACCTCCAATTATAATAAAATTCATTTAAAAATTTAAAGATGTAAAATGTTTAAAAAGAAACCTTAATGTTGATAGCGGCCGATGCTGGTTTTCGCACAATTTTTAGTACTCTATCTTCGCCTTCACCCTCGCTGTAGTGGTACAATTGAAGCTTTTGAGCAATTAAATGTAGAGTACGACGATGGGGAATACTAAGTGTTTTCGGAAATACCAATTCCTCGCGCGTTTTATCGTCACGGAAGATAATCACTTGATCATAGAATTTTAACGTTTCCGGATCATTAAGATCGAGTTGTTCCGGTACTACATTAAAAAATATATATATATAAATAAATCAATAAATATATCCCATACATCTGCTATTATTATAATTCTTATCATCAATTATTTACCAGGACTTTTCACCATGGAATCTCTCTTGTCCTTTCCATTTTCGCTTCTGTCTGTCTTTGGTTTATCGAGCAAATCATTTTCAGTTTTAATTACCAACGGTTCTTGATCAAACTTTTCCTTATCAGCCTTTTGTTTTTCCAACTTTTCTCTTTCTTTGGCCTCCCTTTCTGCAGCTGGCAAAACACGCTTATATTCAACTCTAAGTTTTCTACCAGAAACCTCATACCCATTTAATGCGGACACAACAAGATCTGTTTCTTCTGGAGTTCGGTAATTAGCAAAAGCCAACCCTCTAAAAACACCATTATCGAAATGGTAATTGAACGCATACGGTCTTGGTATATCGAGGTTATTCTGATTAAAATATAAATATGCACGTGAACATTTGAAGTAAAGAATTTTTATTGGATCGGAACATTGATGAATTTGATCCGGAAATGAAATGAAATGATGGAGTTAATAAATAATTAAAAAGGTAAATCAATTCGAGATTATTTTTTTTTTCTTTTTTACTTACAAGAGTAGCTAGTAGCGCATCACGTTTTATGGAGAATGGAATATTTTTTATAACAATGGCAGTTGGAATCGTTTCCTGGGCGCCAACGCTGGCTTCACTATCGCTTTGAGCAGCAGAATTGGTGGTTTTCTCATACCAAAGCTAAAGAGAATATTTTTGTATAAGGAGGATGAATGAACATACACATATATATATAAATATAAATAAGTAAAAAATCGTTATCGTTATTGAGGTAAAACAAGAATGATCTCTAAAATAATTATCCAGATGTTAATCCAGATTTTCACATATATAATTATATATATATGTGAGAGAAGGTTATTACGACTGAATAAAAAACAAACCTTTGACCGTCGTTTCTCTTTTCTCCTTTGACTATCGGTTCCCTTTTTAAGTTTAAAAGAGTTTGACCTAGAAATTGCAGTATCGGAATCGACGGAGTGATCCTCAAAAGTATCATCGAAGGAAAGTTCGATATCGTCTCCCATTTTGTGTGTGTTTTTATATATATATATATAGATACAGATATATGTTATCACACAAAAATGTATTAATGATTATATAAAGAGATGTGAAAAATTTAAAAGTAGGAAATATGTTTATAGAACTTAATCTAGGACAAGAGACAAGAAAGAAAGAAAAAAAAAATTATATTTTTATTTTGTAAAAAGATATTCTAGAAAGAGATGAAAGAAACAAGTTTGAAAACACGAATAATAAATAAACGATTGTCTTTCAAACACTTTCAAATCTACGTATTAATGAAACAAAAAAAACGACGGACTTATTTTTTTTTCTTTATTAAAAAGAAAAATTTGGAAATGCAAGTTTATTTGAAAAATAAAATAATAAAAAGGATAAAGAGGTAGGTTTTTTTTTTTTTTTTAATGAAAAAAAAAAAAAAAAAGGTAAAAAAATAAAAATAATAAATAATAAAATTAAGGTAAAATAAGGCTCGAAAAAACCCAAGAATGCAAAGCGGAAACAAGAGCGTGAAGTGTCAAAACGTTACCACTTCACCCCTGAAAACACGCTCAACTTCGCAACGAGAAAAACAAGTCTCTTACTAAAAAAAAAGGAACTTTTTATGCAAAGTTGAGCAAAGTTCTAATACATCAACTGTTACATCCAGTCACCTTAACAAACACCCTTCTTTAATACTAATCTTACCTTACCTGTAACTCCACAAAAAAAAAATTTTTTTGATCCAAAATGATTGTGTGACGTCATGAATTAGGTTACTTGATTCAAGTGAAGTTCAAGCGAATTTCATACCCAGCCCAGATTTCTTTATTCATAATTTTATTTATTTGTAAGTCAAATGACTGTATATTATAAAATATTTTGCATTTGCATATGCATGAAGAAAAAAAAAAGACAAATTCATTGCTTTGTAAACTTTAATATAATGATAAACAATGAATAATTAAGTATCATAATTGGATGATTGTACAATATTAATCAAAAAAAAAAAAAATGTGTCCGTTACATGAAAGAAAAAAAATTTTTTTTTATTAATGGGTGCGTGGAGAGATCATATCAATCGGGCAGGTACGATTTTTGATCCTTTTTTCTTGTTTTTACAATAATCAAATGCAGCCTTGAGAAAAAAAAAAATTTGAAATATCGAAACGTATATAAAGGTATACATTAATACGTTGTTAAAGATTACGAACAATTACAGAAATGGCATGTGCACAAATGAGAAATTCACGCGGATCATTCTTTTTTTTCTTTTTATCTACCGCCACTTTTTTCGTTCCATCTCCTCACTTGTAAAGTTAAAACAATTCTTAACCATTAAAATTGAACACGGTTGTTCATCATATATTGTTAAATGGTCTTTTATGAGTGGATTGTTGACTTGCATGTAAAATGCAATGTTCGTTAGTAAAAATTTTAGAAGAAAAAAAAATTTTTTTTTAAACAGGAATTAATACAAGTTATTCTTTCATTTAAATCATTTGGCCTGACCATTCATACTAATTCCTATTTAATCATTTATTATACAACCTGTTTATGTTATTGAGGAAACAAGTTTTTTTTTTTTTTTAAAAAAAAATCATGACGGTGTGACATTGTACATTATTTTTAATACCTTCGTACTCGAAGAGGATAATATAGATCATCGATTTACATAGATATTCTTCCCGCAGCCTTATAACCACAAATCTTTTTAATTAATCAATACATGCAGTATTATTTGTTGATAAGATTTTTTACATAAAAAAAAAAAAAAATAAATAAAAATAAATAATTTATATTTTAAATGAAAGAATTTTCGAAAATAAGAAGTTATGATCAATTCCCCGGATTAGTCTATATTAGGGCTAAAGTTGATTTGTATGAAATTTGTCAAACGAGAAATCTTTTGATGGATTTATTCCAAACACTTAATCGAAAGGTTACATCAAATAATGTTATCTTTCTTATAAGCACAAATTATGGTCTTTTTTTAGTGGTTAAAACCGATTGATTGTATAATCAATCCAGAAAAATGCACAGCAAATTATGTATGTCGCGGAAGGCACCGATATACATTATATATATCTCTTACATTATTATTATTTTTTTTTTTTCTTTTCTCAACGGAAAATCACTTCAATAATAGAATATGAGTTTACCGAGCATTTTGTCTAGCATTAATTATATATTACCACTTTTTGTTGAGACACGTGATGATTAAATCAAGTAATTAATTGTTCAGATGTATTGTTAATATATATGCGAAGTGAAGTACCCCAGTTTTGTATAATTGGAAGTATTTAAAACCCAGCTTAACCAAGTATTTAATCAATCCAATTGTCAAAGGGTTTGGCCAATGGAGCGTCGTG